TGCCCTGACTACTGCTTGAATGAAGTTTGACGCGTTTATTTACACTTCCTATTCTCGTTGAAAAAATTATATAAAATATGAAAGAGTTCTCCTTTCATCTAACGACACTCGTCGCCTTTTCGAGCCCGAGTCTGGCTTTTTGAACAAAAAGTTTAAAGTTTTTGTAACGTTTATAATTTGTAGTGTATTAAAATCTACCGCACGTTTCTCAGTGAATCCACCCTGGAGTGAATGCACTGCATAAAACCTTAGCGGGTACTGCACAGTTTGTGTAGGTTAAAGAATTATAGTTATCTGTAGTGAAAAAGGTTATTTGCTTTCCTGTCTGCCCTCAAAGAAAATAAACACCTTACAGAAAAATGTTCCATCAGATAATGTGAGGTATAAATGTAAAAGATACACATAACTGTTCGTCTTTGCTCGATAAGATGCAAAGAATAAGCACACGGGAGCATAAAAGTCGTCTTGATTCGTCCTTAAGGACAGAAATACTGACCCTAGAAATCGTAACAAGTAAAACAAGACGCTGTGGGAGCGTAAATTTGGGCGTCGATGTACTACGCGTGTGTGAAGTTTTTTTCATGTGTATTTAATAGGGATATGAGAGTAGTGCAGTAGCGTTGTATTTTTAGGGGTTGGTTGAGATGCGTGAAGTGAAAGGCGTGGAGTCATATTAGACGTGAATTAATAATATAATGACTATAGTTCGTTAATCAGTGAAAATTATTTCGCGTAGAATTTAATATGAAGCAACAAAAAATAATTATTGTGGGAGGTAAAAGTGATTTTAGGTGTTTTAGAAAGGTAGTTGTGGAAGTGATAATTTGGTTATGATGGGATAATGTAGTTACAGTGTGTGTAGTCGAAAACATATTTACGTCTTGTCATGTACTTATTTTAGACGTTGTTAGGCTTTCTGTTAAGGGTTTTTTTTTCGCTTAAATTTGACAATATTTGTATGGAGGGAACATGGATAAGGCCAAAAGTTCATTTAATATAGAGAAGGGGGTATGACGATGTTGAAACGGGGGAGCTGAAATTTTGTGTGTGAGCTCAGGGGCTATAAAAAATCGGTGAGGTCAAGGGGAAGACGTAAAATCTGGCTATAGAACTAAGGGAGTGATTACATGATTAGAACTAAGGGACTGATTACATGCAGAGATCCCGGCACCTTGGTTAAACGAAACAAAAATCAACTTTGCCATTATATGACAACCCAGCCAGCCCGGTTAGCTGGAATACCTGTATTGTGATACCGGGTTCCCGGATGGCAATTTTCCAAGAAATCACGCTTGCCGGGCGGCCCAGAGAATGAACCAAGAAAGAAACAGGACAGCGAGTAACACACTGTTCATGCGCATTGCTTCCCAGGTTCATGTGATCAGGCCCTTACTGTTAGTTGTATTGTCAAGCAGTTTGCACGTGAAAGCTTTGGAATTTGCCGCTTTCGCGGTTCGTGAATGAAAGAATGCGACTTAGGCTCTGTCCACTCGTATCCGTATTCGTTTGAAAACGCAACTTTTTTTTCCCTTTTCAAAACAAATTCGCGTCCACTTTAAGTTGTTTCGCATCGTTTTCGCCCGTCCACACGTATACGATGAATCGATTTGAAAACGATAACTTACCCAACTGCTCATGCTTGACGCATACGCGTTCGCTATTACGAGCCCACGAAATAACAAATTGGCGCCATCTTTGAAATTCTTTGGCGTGGGTTTATATTGTTGTGACGTTCTTGAAAGTCACAGAAACAGTTTAAAATGTCAAAACCAGGGCAAAAACAAAGACAAACCAAAGGCAGGAGCCTATCAAATGGAGCCTCCATCTCTCATACAAGCCCTTGGAGACAACCCTTTACCGAGTAGGTTTATAATTGGAACAGTTCCCAGAGGAGACTTCGCGCGCCGACAGTGGAAAGAGCCAATCACAACGACGAAATGACAGTGCTATTGTACTTCATCATACAGCAGGGAATACGGTGTTGACAGGCCAAACACAATTATAAGCTAGTGAAACGTGACTTTAGCGTTTTCATCCCTCAGAGATTTTCTTTCTTTTCTTTCTAGCTGGGAGATTATATTGTGGAGAATTTTAAACTTTGACTTTGTTAATCTTTATTTTGGCTGCTTGTCTTAATTAAAGAGGCGATGAAGCTGGTCTATTCCATGCACAATGACTAACTACTTTCTACAGTCTGTAGTTCTGACAGGATTCGATTCTAGTACCGGTTTTCTTTTAGCTAATGTTTTTTAAGCGTGAAGGTTCTTATTTCGGCTCAATGACTCAATATTAATCAAATTTCTAGTTTTTAAAGGTTTTTTTTCCGAATTGCGTTTATCTGAATAAATACTTGTAGTCTTTGTTTTGTCCGTCAGTGTGGTGATTCCCTGCTATGTTTTGCAACGCCGGGCCCAGCTATTTAACATTGTTTTCTCACGAAAGGCGATCTACAGATGCGAATTCGAAGGAAGGAATTGAGCTTAAACTTAAGCTACATTAACTGCTGAGAATCGTCCGCTGTTAGTCAGTCATAATTCTTTAGGCGCAGATACAATCCATTTTGTTTTTCTCGAGATAAGTGGGTCTTTGAACTGGAGCGCGATGTCACAAATTTTTCCGTTACACAGTCGAGCAACTGTTCTGTTCTGTTCCACTTTTCAAGTGCCAGTTTTATCAGGCAATAATCATGGCAATACAAGTCAGTTCATTTGTCAGTTGAAAGAAAGACTGCAATCTCTCAAATTTCGCAACTGAAGCATTCCTCGTTAGTTGCTACTTAGGTCATCGCTTTTTAGCACGCGGTGCTTAACTGGCGAAATCCACACCACGGTGATGACAAAAATCAAATGATCTTGGCCCTTTTTCGGCCCTGATCATCAGAAAGTTCCAAATCGTCCACAGAACGCTTAATCGTCGACTCTTTTCGAAGTGCATTCTTACATGTGGAATGTGTGACGGCGAAAAAAAAAAAACTCGCAAAGATAACCTTTCAGTGATCCTCAGTTCGCTGCCTTTGTCCTATCGCTTCATGCTCAGTCTCAGTCGGGTAATTCATTAACTTTTAGTTCATAGTATCCAGATCCTAGCGGCTGTAAAATCGTAAAAATGGACGTATAGTATAAAAGGAAAACCGTCGAAGGACGGGCTCCCGAGTTCGTCTTCATCCAACTTTATTTTTTCCAGTGACATACGAGACTCAAGGAAATATGACACGTTTCGCGCCTGGAAACAAGCCGTTCTATTTATAAATCTACTCGGGAAAGGGTTGACTCAAGAAGTTAATGGAGATGGAGGCTCCATTTGATGGGCTCCTGCTAAAGGGAAATCTAAACTTCCGCCTCTTGAAAGAGGTAGCGAAAACAACCTGATAATGTTCTGCCGCCCCCTGGTATAATCAGCTTGAAGAATTAACAAAGCAAAATTGGCTTGAAAAACTAGCAATTATGTTAGAAATAAGCCCAAGAATAAAAGACAAGAAAGGGAAGCGCCCGTCCGCCATCTTGACTAAATTTCTAATATTGCGCAGAGTGGATTGGAACTGATAGTGTGTCCTCAACGTTTTCAAAGAGTTCCGTTTTCGTCTGTCCACACGTGCACGCGAAAACAGCGTTTTCAAAACGTTCCACCCTGGAAAGCGTTTTCGAAAAGTTTTGTTTTCATTGATCGTTTTCATCGGTATGTGTGGACGAAAGTCGTGAACTAACCATTTTGAAAGGGCTAGCCGATAGACCCCGGCACTTTTACATGGAGCAAGTTTCGCTTATCTTTGCCACGTATGATAGCCACAGAAAACCGCTCAACGCACGTGCGAGCAACGTTTTTTAGCGCTCACGCTGTAAAAATGATCAGCAGTGATGTTCGAATTACAGGCGCGGTCGCAAGGCAAACCGGTTTGAGGTTGGTTCAAATTCACTCCGAACGGCCTAGCTAGTGTTGGGTTTTGTTAGCTCTGATTGTAATTTTAGGAAGAATCTTCGGATTCTAAAGATGTTTTAACCTTTAGCGCAAAAGTTTAAGAAACGTCACTTGTTGCGCGACTTTGAGGAAGCACACAGCCATACATAGCCCTACTTAGCCATACATAGCCATACACAGCCATACACAGCCATACACAGCCCTAAATAGCCCTACATAGCCATACATAGCTATACACAGTTTTACACAGCCATAAACAGCCATACACAGCCATACATAGCCCTACATAGCCATACACAGCCATACACAGCGCTACATAGCCATACATAGCCATACATAGCCATACATCCGCATATTAATTGATCCTATTGAATTTGGCAACATAAATAGAAACTGTGATATCCCGAATTACCAAACTCGATTTCGAAAAGGCAGAGATATCTTTCTAATTCTTTACCATGGCACCTAAACCGATTGCAGCTAAAAAGGGAGAGAAGAAGAGCGGCGGTAAGGCAAAATCCACGTCGGGTGACAGTACGAGGGTGTTCGGCCGGCTGTTTAGAAGTTTTCTTCTTGGTGCTTTTGGCAGACATGTCTCGTTATAGTCTCCACAGCGATAGCTAATGTTGGTTACTTGCGCAACTCTTTTGTTGAATTGTTAGTTATAGCGGACCGCAGAGGGATCAGTTACTACTGATCGCGATAGATCTGTTACCTCTAAGACGTTTGCTAAGTTCTTTGAAAATGAGATGGCTTGTAAACGTTAACTAAGGAAGACAGGCAGAGAGATTAACTGAACGAATGAGGAGATGTTGGGCGCAATCACTAATTTTTGGTAAGCTTAGAGATACTAGTACTCTACTGTGTCCTGTGCAGCGCTTGTGTTGTGTGTATTATCGCGAAAAACCTGTAACGGCGTAGAGTATGACAATTATGTCTGTCTCATTTCACTAGTAACTAATAAAGAAATAAGTAGAGACAAGCTAAGGTAAGAAGTAGTTTATTGGCCATTAACTTTTATTGTCAGGTAGTGGCTCCTAAAGGAGCCGTTTGTAATGTGAGATTGTCACAACCGAGCTGAGCTGTTATGCACGTTCGCCCCGGATCCTACGAACCAACTGGATATCTTTAGGCGTGATGGTGACACGTTTAGCGTGAATGGCGCAAAGGTTGGTGTCCTCGAAAAGACCGACCAGGTAGGCTTCGCTAGCCTCTTGAAGAGGCAGCACGGCTAAGCTTTGAAAGCGCAAGTCGGTCTTGAAATCCTGAGCGATTTCTCGAACAAGACGCTGAAACGGTAACTTGCGAATCAGCAACTCGGTGGACTTCTGATAACGACGGATCTCTCTGAGGGCCACTGTTCCTGGCCTGTAACGGTGCGGTTTAATTCACGCCACCAGTAGCAGGAGCGCTCTTTCGAGCTGCCTTAGTAGCCAGCTGTTTACGAGGCAATTTTCCTTCGGTGGACTTTCTCGCTGTTTGCTTGGTTCGGGCCATGACTGTGAAACTGATGTTCAGAAGATTAAAGGCTCTATGTGAAAGCTTGGCAATTTTTATGGCCGCGATTTATCAGGAGGCTGTCGCAAGCCGATTGGATATTTAAGAATTTATGTATTTCTGATTGGTTCGGCTTCGGAGACACCCTGCTTTGATTTGCATGCCTTACAATAGACAGTGGGGCGAAAGAAAATTATAATATTCTTTTGTTGTCCTTTTACTAAGAACAAATCTATGTAAATACAAGAAATAATGTTTCCCGAGAGGTCAGATTGAAGGGTATAGATTGAAAAGTAATTTCTGTTCTGCAGTAATTTAACATAGTGCGAGACCTTTCCCTTTTTAAACCTTGACGATAATTCAGACAACCGAGAATGTCCGGTCGCGGCAAAGGAGGTAAACGCTTGGGCAAGATTCTACGCGATAATATCCAAGGAATTACCAAGCCAGCGATCCGTCGTCTCGCTCGCCGTGGGGGTGTAAAGCGAATTTCTGGACTGATCTACGAGGAGACACGCGGTGATCCGAAAGTTTTCCTTGAGAACGTTATCCGCGATGCCGTGACCTACACCGAGCACGCCAAGCGTAAGACCGTTACAGCCATGGACGTAGTATACGCTCTGAAACGACAAGGACGTACTCTGTACGGTTTTGGGGGTTAGAATACGCTGTGATCCCTGATCAACACTTAAACCAACGGTTCTTTTAGGAGCCAACAAATGTATGAAAAGCTCTGACCAATACGTGATAAGAGAATTTGTTTTCATTACGATCATTGCTGCAGGTTTATACACATACAAACAAGTCAACATACACCTGAAATGGATTCAGCGCTTTATTTACTGGGTGCGTCCACGCGAGTTTTTTCTTTTTTAGTGACTTTACAGCAGCGCAGTCGTTACCCATACAGGAAATTTTTTTTTTTTTTTCCGTCTAGGTTAGCCTCGTAGCTCTTTGCGGGGCATACAATACTGTAAAGCTTTTGTCTTTAGGTAGTGAATAAGCTGTTGTTGTACGTTGTTGTTGTCGCGGAATTAAGAGAGCAAGCTGGTTTGTGTCGTTACCGTCGACAATTTATAACTGTGTTAGTTTATTTTACGTAAACAGCTTGTGCACTGAAGGAAATCACGACGATCTCTTGTAATTTTTGCGCAAAGAAAACAATATTTCAAACTCAGTAGTAGCAGCAATGTTTCTTCCCGGTTGGTAGGAATGCGATTAATTGTGTACTCGTTTAAAAAGAGCGGAAAGTTGTTCGATTGTCGCTTGGTATGTACCTCGAAGTTCGTATAAAAATCTGTTGGAAACAGCGCGAATGAAACCTGCATAAAAATCAAACGCAATTTCAACTTTCATGATATAATCACATCAGTCTTAAAATTCATGTTACACCGAGCTAAACTTACCTAAGACTGGTTTCAGTTTCAAGCAATGCTGTGGTTGCTGTTATTTTTTTCTTACATGCAATAGCCGAAATAGTGCTAAATATGCTTTGGTATACGCATTTATGAACAAAACTAAGAACATGGAACCATGCAAAAACAAATAGAAATAGCGAGTTTCCGCGAGACATAATTATTTGCCGCTAAGTATCCATCCAGTTATTAACCCCAAAATAAGACGGCGAATACTATTTGGGGGTAGATTACAAATTTATATCGTGATTGGTCATGACTTTATTCCAGGCTTGGTGGCTCCTAAAAGAGCCGTTTGTATTTATGGTTGTTGCCGTCGCTTAGTGTTGTTTCTTCTATGTCTTTTTAGGTAGTAATACTGCCTGAATGTTGGGAAGAACACCGCCTTGAGCGATGGTGACACCGGCAAGGAGTTTGTTTAATTCTTCGTCATTTCGCACAGCCAACTGGAGGTGACAAGGAATGATTCTTGACTTCTTGTTGTCGCGTGCTGCGTTTCCTGCTAACTCGAGGATCTCAGCACTCAGATACTCAAGTACGGCAGCCAAGTACACGGGAGCACCGGCTCCGACGCGTTCAGCGTAGTTGCCTTTACGAAGAAGGCGACGGATGCGACCAACAGGAAACTGTAGACCTGCCCTGGAAGAACGAGTCTTTGACTTGGTGCCCTGGGCTTTACCTTTTCCTCGTCCGGTCATTTTGTCGAGTAACTCGTATCTTAAGTTTCAGTTTAAGTTTCAGGAGACTGTTTTCCAAGACATAACTTCGGCCGCCATAATTTATCACGCGCGGACTGCGTTTCGAAAAAAGAAATTCATATGTGTTGGAAAGAACTTCTACCTTTCAGAGTTGACACCTGGAAATTAAAACCTCGTTTAAAAAGGTTGCTGGAAAAAAGGGAGATTCTATTTTGGTCAAGAGATTTTGCAATGCAGTATCAACTCAATTCTTTATTGTTGCTAACAGGTGTGAACAAAATAGTTCCACAAGCAAGCGTTATCTAGCCTTCCTTCACAAATATTTTGCACACAAGTTACTGGACATAAAGACAGAGAGATCGTTTTGAACTTATTTTATTCTCTATTTGTACTGAATAAGAATATTAAGAGGACGTGTTCTAGTTAATGTCCTGTAGTTGGTTTGGTGGTACAGTTTTTGAATTTTTGCATGGAATACTTTCACTTTCTAAGGTTTATTGTAACAATTTTTTAATGGTGACAATGCCAAAAATGCCCTTCCTTAATTTTACAGGCAAAAAAACATAATAAACTTTTCCTTTCAGCCCCCGCTATATAAAAAGCGATGATTTTGTCTCAGCTCCTAGCAGAGCCGCTTTTTCGATAGCGAAATTTTTCTGAATCATTTGTTATAGCCCAAACCGGGGTACTTAGTACCGGAGATAAACTAATCATTGATGTCATTGATTAATGTAAATAAAACCAATTTTAAAAGTTTCAAGTAAATTTTCCTTTTTATTCCTCCAATAATTTCGATGAAGTATACTTCTTTTGAGCCTTAATCACAAAATATGATGGCCGGAATTTGCTAAGAAACCAGTGACAATCGACAACCGGAAATAAAATATCCTAAAACAAAATATTTTAATCCAAAAAATAAAGATTCCATTTTTATGAACGTTTGCTAGAATTCATTAACAATGAACTAACGTCGGTTGTGCACTAGATCTTAACATGCTTCCGGTTTTAGATTGTGAAGAAGGCCAAAAAAAAATCGAAATGAGGAACCTATCTAAGTATTCCAAAATAATCAAAACAGAAGATAAAAAACGTTTTTATTCAAATTATCAACCTGGATGTGTTATTTGTAGGTTTTGTCTCAGGCCTTAAACATCTCTCCTTGCTAATTTCTACAATAAATCACCAAAAGCAAAATCTTTGTAACTGGTCATATGTCTTCTATTTATAATCGCATCAGGTTAGTGGGGCCTTAGTTTAACTTGAGAACAACTTTCGTTAAGGAAGAACGTTTAGATAATCCATTTGATAGAAAGGAAAAGAAAAACTCTTTCAATCTATTTTGGAGTCGCTTGTGGTCATAAATATTAACTTACCCAATGTTGCTAATGGTTTTTCCATTTCTAAGACTTAACTTAATATGTCCACAAGCACGTAAATTTCTGTTAGCCATCGTGTCTTCCATTTTAAATGAGAATTTGATCACGGTACTTTAATTCCTTAACCCGAATTTGAATTTTTACTTTGAAAGTAGGAAGCCGGGGCGATTCCTTCGCCTTTAGTCTTTTCTAGACGTCCTCCAAAGCAGACTGATATCTTCGTTGCTATATCACAAGTGTTCAGGTAATCACTGCGATGTTCTAATTTAATAATATCGTAAAATATAGCGAGATTTATAGAAAATAATGATAATCGACGCAACATGGCCTTAATTTCGAAATGATTTTTCATCGATCTTCGTGAAAGTTTTAAACTGCGACTTTTACATTACTTCTTCCTGCGGAACGTTACTAATGGAATGCGTTGCTGCGGTAAAAATTCCCTTTGGTGAGAACGTCACAACTGTTCTGTCGTTGTGACTTTTATTTCTCATGTAAGATAATTTGAACTTTCTTCCGAAAATTAAAAATACGTTCTTGTTTACATTAGCTAGATTGGTGCTATTCAAGGTACTGGATTATATTTTGTGGTCAACATAGTGAGCTTTTGAGTTGAATTAAGGCAAAAAATTCCAAAGAACTCGTCAAATATTTCATTTTTATGGAACGATGTAACATCCAACCTTTAAACGTATCTAAGTGAATTTTTGTGAAGATTTCAACTTTTTCAGGATTTATCAACTTTCAATTGTCAAAATCCCAGCAAAGTCTTTCCTTAATGTTACAAGCAGTAAAAAAAAAGCTTTTCCATTTATCCCCCAATGCATGCATAGCGATTCTGCTTCACTCACTAAACTCGACTGTTTTTTCTCTTTCCTATAACGAATTTGGCGTATAGTGAAGACATTACCGAGTTGGGTCCTTGATCATGAAATAAGGTGACCTGAGTTTAGCAAAGAAACCTAATACAATTGAAACCTGGAAGTAAAATATCCTAAACGAGGTATTTATATTTAAAAAAACTCCGTTAGCAACGAACTAAATTCGCTTGTATACTAGATCAAAACATATGGCAGGTTCAGAGCGTGGAGAATATTAACATAATAGAAAACCTGTCATTTAAGTATTCTAAAACGATGATAATAAAAGAAGTTTTGTCCAAAATATCAACCTAGACCTTTAACAATGTCTTGCTTATTTCCACCAGAAATAACCTGAACGGGTCCATAAGCAAATTTTGTATTACTAATCATTCTCTATCCCATTTTTAACAATGTAATAAATGTGGCCTTCTTTTATCCTGACACTAAATACTCTTCGAAACCTAAGTTTAACTTATTCCCCTAAAAATAAAACTTTGTTTGATACTTTATCGTTTCAAAGATTAAGATATCTGGCGTGATGTGAAAAAACGTTTAGATCATTGATACCAGGTATAAACAATCGCTTTTTACTTGGTTTTAAAGCTTTTAGTCATGTCATAGGTCCATCCCAAACACGACTTGTTCACTTCTGGTTATAAGCTTCTGCGGGGCGAATATGTTCAGTCATAGATATTTGCTATTTCGTATTATGTGATCACTGTAAGCGTTTTGCTTTTGATTATAGATGTCTTTCCACATGACGGAATATTAGTTGATAAGGATCAGCCTTATTTTAATTAAAAGCTTTAGACAAGAAAAGGCTTTTGTTCGGAACATTTTTTGAGGCAAGCTGGGAGAAACTTTTAATACAGTTTGTATTCGAAAACTTGAAACAAACGGCCTCGAAGGAAGTATTTTTACTGAAAAGAATGGTTGATTCGAAATAAAGTAACGGCTTCCAATTGAAGTATCAACTTACTATTGTTGTTAGCGGGTATAAACTAAAAAGGCCTACGAGCAAAGTTTATTTAACCTTCTTACTAGAAATGTTTTGAAAGAAACTGTTCTCGGCAAAGCGAACAGAGAATCCAGTTTTTTTTAATGATTGTTTTAACCCTCATAGGATGTGAACATTTCTTACGGGTGTTAAAAAATGATTTCAATCGAGTTTCGTCTAGTTTTTAAAATTCTCAAGTATCAACATACTGATGTTGCTCAGGGTTTTTCATTCCCGAGTCTGAACTTAAAAGGTTCAATAAGCACAAAATTGTGTTAAACTTTAAATGAGAATTTGATCACCTTCTATAACTTCAATTCCTTAACGACGCTCCATTCTCCGTAAACGAGAGTAAAGGTAACTGCACAAAGCTCTCATGACTTAAGCTAAATGGCATTAAACTTCTAATTTTTTTAAGGATCAGATCAGATGAAAACGCAATAGACAAATGTATTCCCAGTTCTATTGCCATGATTTAGTGTGTCATCCATTCGGCCGAATAATGTAACTTAGGTAAAATAGTTATGTTTTATCGTTGCCCAGAAGGGATGAAAGAACAAAGGGCGAAAACAACGCAAAAGGAACGAGGACAAGAGGGGCTTCGACTTCCTCGCTTGCTTGTGCCTCGTGTTTTGCCCTGGTAGAAAGTCGTCTCGCCCTATCTGGCTATGATTCTCGTCCAATACAAAAATTCTCGATGAGGGGAGCGTGGCCTAGTAGTTAGGACGCTGGACTTGTGAGCCGGAGGTCCCGGGTTCAAGTCCTCCTCCCTGCCACTGAATGGATTTGTCTTCGGTGGCCCCGAATTCAACTCCTGCACGCTTTGTAAATAGCCAACTGGTCTGCGTCCTTCCAGTTGGGATTTTTAACAAGTTTCTGTTGATTTATGATATTTTTTTCCTTATTTAGAGTGTCTCCAATTAGCACAGCAGTGCTAAATACTCTGACACTCAAAAAAAGAGATTTTTATTTATTTATTTATTTTATTGTGAGTCATGAATTCTGCCTCTGATAAACCAAATGTGTTTCACTTGGTTCGGTAATTTAAATAAGTTAAAGGCGGCCTCAATGGCCTTTGGGTGGAAGATCAAGGGCTTACAAAGGCATCTTTGCAGTCTACTTTAAATTGTGATGTGTGAGCTGTCATCGTTTGATTTGTAGAGAATAATTCTTTAGCCTTGAGTTCTATCGCTTGCTTTTGAAGAATTGAATACATTTATAGTACATTTTCGTTTTGGCTATTGGAATCATATGTTATTTCTTTGCCTTACTTTTAATTGCTAGTCAGTGGTTTTGTACCTCATCAAGCTACATTGATATACACATGCTCAGGATGTCGCACATGATTTTGGTTGCTCTTGTACTACTACTGGCTTGGAGCAGAAACACAGGTATGTGCATGAATTGTTGTAATTTAATTGCAGCCTCTCTTTGTGTAATAAAATAATGATATAACAACAGAGTTGCTGTTCGCGGGCGTGAATATGTTTTTAGCCCAACTCAGGCTCATTTTTGCCCAAGCCGAAGGCAAGGGCTAAAATGAGCTCTGAGAAGGGCCAAAAACATATTTAAGCCCAAGAACATCAACTCTATTACTATTATAATAACTTCAGAGGGCATTTAGAAAAGAAATTTAAGACGGGAAACGACATTTAAAACATTCCCAGCTTCGATTCGGCGTTTATTCAAGGTTGAAAATCAGACCTGAATGCTCACAAAACTTGACAGAAAATGACCGCAAAATTACTCAAAAGAATTTTCTGTCTAAAGTTCTCTTCAAAATGAAATTATAGAATTTATAGGCAACAAGAAATGGTCATTTAGAAGCGTTAATAATGATTGAAAATAACTAACAGGCAGTTTGCAGGGGCACCCAACGACACTTTTCGGAAAATATCTGTTCGGAAGACGATTTGAGATCTAGAATTTTCGGAACATTTGTTGTAAAACTTCTTGCTTGCCTGCCTCTCCTAGGATTTTCGAACATCTACTAAAAAAATGGTATAATTGCCCATTTTTAACGGATTTTTTCCTTAAAAGGTCACCTAGAATTTTCGGGAGCCTGTTTTTCTGGCTGAAATTTTCGAAAAGGTAAGTTTTGATCCCTATAATTTTCGGATCACTAGACTTTCAGCTAGGAAATCCGAACAGATAAAAAATTTTTAGGGGATAAAAATATGCTTATATCTACCGTTTAAAGACTAAAATACATTTAACAATGGTATGTTTAAGTGGTTTTGAATTATATTCTCGTTGGGTGCCCCTGAGTTTGGCCTGCATAAATACACCAACTGATCGAGCGAGTTTCACTTAAAGGGATACTGACTTGCGGTTCGCGCCTTAGCTCGTGGTCAAAAACCGGAAGTGACGCACATAGGAGAACTAGCATCATCGCATAGAGAAGGATTGAGACCAGTTGAGCTATAAAAAAGCTCTCTGCGCTGCTGTAAAATATAGTTCAAGCTTTTCGCTAAAAATACATAAAACAGCTAATTTCTCTCTGTGAGTAATTTTAAAGGCCGATTGTACTCTTATATATTGCCAGTCTCACGCTATGTTGCAAATAATCGCAACTTTAACTGTCAAATCTCTTTGTCGTTATCTACTAAGGAAACTCCGATGATTCTTTCTTCCTATTTTGCAACCCCATGCTATTAATTAACCTCACCTCAATAATTACAAAAGATGCAAAGCAAGCAATAAAGTGCAGTGTTTTACTTTATACAGTCTTTATACAGTCGAGGTGTGTGCTCATTCTCGGGTGTGTTACTTACCAGATGTCTCACCAGTCCGGAAAATTCGACACGACCTTCGCCTGACCCTGTTTTATAACACTCGTTTAAATATAAATCAATAGCTTGAATAGCGCATTAACACGAAATTAAAATGCCACATTGCTTTGTAGCCGGTAGATGTTCTAACATGCGTAAGGAAAGAGGAAGCCTTCACAAATGGCCTGCAAATCCCAACGCGACTGTATGAACAAAAGCTGTGAACACCGTACCCGTTCTGAGCTTTTAACGTAACTGCGACGACTAACCATGTATTTGCAATGCTCACTTCACTGCTGAGTCTTTTGAAGAACAGCCGGTGAAGGAGATTTCTCTGATTTAAAAATGGAAAAAAAATTACGTAAAACCCAATTCTGTCCAACAATTTTCGGAAGTGGTCCTCCAGACAAAAAGAAACAAAAGCGAGAAGACGAAAACATAAGTTTTTTTTTGATAATATAATTAAGTATTTCGTGACCATGATACATTCAATCTCAAACAAAATTTCAACAGACCAGTGGAATCAAATAAAAGCTACCTTTACATATTGTCAACAGTAAAAATCAATACGAACTAAAGAATTATAATAATAAAACATTAATCGGAAAGTAAAATAAACAGAAAGTCTTCCTCGTGCACTGGGAGAGGAAAGTACGCTCGCATGTAACGTATAGTTTATGATGGCCGGACCACTCGCACTTCTTTTCCCAAAAGATGCTAACTCCTCCTCGCCAAGTGCCTATAGGCTATTATTCTAAAATGTCTATTTTGTTTATGCTGTTGGCCTTCATGAGAGTCCTCGTATCCCGGTGGGGGGTACTCCCTTATATGGGCTATATAGGTGTGTGCGGCCCCAAAGGGTAGGGTTTTTCAGCCCTTTTGCTCATAAATAGGGTATCGATTTTAGCCATTTTGCCGCCATTTTGGTAGCAGGCTACTCATAAATAGGGTAAGGGTTTTGGGAAGCGGGCCGCACACCCCTACCCATTTTTTGGGGGGTACCCCCCCCCCCCCCGGGCCTCGTATACTGTTCTTTATGTTGCTATCACGCCGTAGAACCCAGCCATGAAACAAACACGTCCACGGGATGCTGTGTCATACATGGATTGCTTCACAATTTTTGGCCACAATTAACGCAGTCAATTTCGGCACAGCACACGCACTTTACAACTCGATTACGTCCTTTGTCATGTCCATACCGGCATATAAAATTTCCAATCGAAATTTTTACATATGATCGCACCGAAATAATCACAACACCTAAACGAATTCCTGCCGTGAAATATTTTGCATCGAAACTGAACATGAAAATACACCCAGTTATTCCATTCCAACAAATGTAACAAGAAAACTTTATTGTCAAATCATGTTGACTTCATTCATTCGCTAATGAAATCTGTTAACAAAATTACGGAAAGAACTCGACTTATAAAGAAGTACATTATTGATCGCTCACCAGTCTGATCTGTGTTTTGCAATCGTTCGAATTGTCGACCGCCATCTGACTAATTTGTGGAGTCCGTGCCTGCCGTATAAAGGCTCAAGCAGATGCGGCTGTGTTACCAGACAATCTTCTAGTGTCATTGTATCAGTAGAATCCCTATCCCTTATAGAAGAATGAGGAAAAGAACCACACGGATCCTTCGATTCCATGACTGACTATGGTAAACACGCAAGAAGTTCTCCTATCTACGTCATAAATCACATGACTAGAAAGTCAGCCACTTCATTTCCGCTCCTCAAAAAGCGGGAAATTTCGCTTTTCAAGCGCAATTTTTAGCCGTTAAAATTTACTTCGAGCGCTTTTTTTGTTTCTCAATTATCTTTTTGGTACAAATGCTACATTTTGAGCAACATGTTGTAATGTGGTCAAGAGTATTCCTTTAACGAAAGCAAACTTACATTCACTTTGTCGCCTGGATTCTTCTTCGAGATTCTGTAATTCGTTTTCATCTAGCTTAAAAGACTGCGAGTTTGCTTCCTGGTTACGTTTTTCATCCATTTTATCGTAACAAACCTCTCAAAAGTTTGCAGTGGAGATGAAAGCGTCTCGACTCAGCTTGAAATTTGCTGGCAGCCAGCGAGAAAACCGAGCGAACAGTTGAATGGTTTCCAGTTCTGATTGGCTAGTTTCGTTACTTTCTCGTTTCTGATTGGTCGACGGCAATGAATCGCTGAATTCTCCATTTTACCCGCAAAATACACCGCAATGCCCGATGAAGTTATTATAATCGTCATGTGTCGTGATTCAGTCATGTACATGATTCTTTGCTTTCTAATCAACCTCACACCCAGGGTCTTCGTTCCTTCTGACTTGCGATGAGGAAACAAACGACCCTAGAAATAAAGTTCCGATCTGAAGTCCTAAAGTTTGCCTAGCTTTTAAACGAACAAAAAATTTCTTGGTATTTTACTTCCGTTCATTTGTATTGTCTCTTCTCAACCCAATCAAAATCAATATTCTGTAACGGGACTTTCGAAAATCGCTTGTTTCGTCAAACCTGCGCAAAGTGTAATGCCACCTATCCCCCTAATAATGTGATGTGATAGAAACAAACTTAACATCGGTATATAACGCTCAGTTACTGTTACATGTAAATGAGATACCGATGACAGAAACGAGTCTCTTTTAGGTGGCAATCAAAAAACGACTTTTGATTTGAAGATTGATCCCACGTTTTTTTTTCAGAATGAATGTTTTTTGAAACCACTAACGGGAAGTCAATGAATGAACACATTCACGTTTTAGACATCTACCATATTCTTACCAGTGCTTAGTGGGATTCTCGCCTTTTTTTACATCAGGGCGCCGTTTCACACATATTTTTGCTAAGGAAGGTTATAGTGTTTGTGACCAAAACGTTCTTTAACGCCATTATTTAAGTCAGTGAAAACAAATTTTTTTATCAAAGGCTATCTTTTTATACTGGAAAAATTAAATCTAATCACCATTCAGTGATAAGACTGGTCCAATACTTCTTTCGAATTTCAAAGGTGTTTTAGTGTAATCTCCATCCAGAGGCCCTAACAAAAACAACACACAGTTACCAAACAAAATATCTACCATGTTTCTTCGGGTTCAGCAAGTACTTTCTGTTAAGATACATAGAGGATATTACATGGCCACGCGAAGATACGAAATTTCTCTTCGAGTGTTGAACAATATTTTACGAGTGAGCGTAGTAATATTCTATTTAGTATATAAACACCAATGAATACCAAACCTTTTAAGTTTTGATGCGAATGGCGCGATTTTTTTATGTAACCGTAGCAACGTTGATATCTTCACATGTGAAAATAACATGTTATTTTCACGTGTGAAGATATCATGTTTTCGCGCGAAAGCTCACCTGGTATTTCACTGCTGTTTATATAATAAAAACACGTACGTACCGAATGTTACGTAACTAAGCTTAACACCAAGTCGAGGCTCGGGAGGTTTTGCACCATCCTCTTTTAATAAACATGTGACTCGCGTTTTTAGTGGAAATAAAAATGGTTGTGTTGCTGATGTTCGCAATTCTTCTCTTGAAATGATCCACCAAAAGAACGACAAATGGCCACGCTTGCAACAGTTTCTCAGTGTTATGGATCTTTAAGCTATATTCTCTGAAACTCTTTTTTACACAAGGAGGATGATCACGGATTGACCTAAATTATTCTCTAAAAAAAGGAAAGATCGAAATATAACTCTTAGTTGCGATTGAAACAGATCACTTAGTACCTTTCTATGGAGGTTATCCACTAATGAAAAGACTAAGAAAGAAAGAAGAAGTCAAAGAATGCTGCCTCGTTTTGCGCTAATTACAAGCGAAATTTAAATTCCACAGTAAGATAGCGCATGACAATTCAAGAAAATAGCCTAAATGTTCTTTTTACGCCCATCCATCCATCGTTCCTCCGTTTAATGTCAGTGTTAATGTTATTGGTGCCACTATCACCATTTTTCGTCCTTGTGTTAATCCTTTTGATGTAATACGAGGTCTGGTCGTTCAAAGGTTGGATAATGCTATGCACCAGAAAAACCGAAATAAGGTTAACAAAAGTGTTAACAACACCAGCTGCACTTTCAGTTTAATATAGTGATGTGCATTATTCGTCCTTTAACAAGAACTCTCTGCCTTTTACAGTTCTGAATGGAAGAACTCGCCCCATATTAATGCATTATCTTTTTAGAGTGCGCGATGATCGACTGCAATAACGCACAGTATCTTACAACCAGTCTGGATGATTTCGTGGCTAGCTGTAGACCAGAAACCTGGAAAGATTTCTTTGATCAGGAGGACGTACAAAACGAAATAACGAAAACAGCTAAAGCAATGCTTAAGGAAGCCGAGTCTTATGTTATTCAACCTCCAATGCCGCAGATGTTCAGGGCTTTAGAACTCGTAGCTCCAGCCAATATCAAGGTGGTTATTTTGGGTCAGGATCCAACTCCAAAACCAGGTATGGCTACAGGCTTGGCGTTCAGCGTTGCTAATCCTCTGATCGTTCCTACAGTCCTGAACGTTTTGCTACAGCTCGCCCTGGAAGGATTTCACGTTGACGTCAACAACGGTGATCTGACATCATGGGCAACCCAAGGAGTCCTTCTGTTAAACAGAGCGTTAACAATTCGACAGGGTGAAACAGACTCTCATAAAGCATGGTGGGAGGTATTTTCCAAATATCTGATACAACATATTAGTAAAAACGCCCAACCATCTGTCTGGTTACTCTTGGGGAAAGAGGCCCAAAATTACAAGCGTTTTATTGACACAGATAAGCACTATGTTATTGAGGGCGGCCATCCCTCATCCATGGGTGGTCGAGCGAATACCTTTATTGGTGGCCAATACTTTCGATGCGCTAATAACTTTTTGTTTAGAAAAGGTCGACTTCCAGTAAATTGGGGATGGGGGACGGCAAACTCTCTGAGGGCATGTCCGGATGAACCTAAACCAGCCATAGTAGGAGGGGGTCCATCTAAGAAACCAAGACGCTTTAAATAAACTCGTTTTCCCACCGAAATTCTATTTGGTTATTTCAGTGTATGCGTTAAAAAGGCCTTAGATCAGATTAATATCGTGTTTAAACCTCACCCCAGTCTTGCAGCTGCAACTCCGTTGCGAATTGTTTCTAAATAGGATTCCCTCTCCGTTTAAAATGGGTGTCTTTTGATGTTACTTTTGTTTTGTCTGAAAAACGAGTTAAAATTGCAGATAAAAATAACCTTTAATACGATCATTTTAAATTTCGCAAAGCAAAGGGCGTTCATTCCAAACGTAAAGCTATACATCTAGTAAGAAGTCCAAAAGTGTGATAACTTTTTTATAATTTATTTACATTCTTCGGGTGTAGATATCATTCAGATCAGAAGATAACTCCTCTGCTTCCATTGAGGTAACGAACAGATGAAAGAGGTCATTATCAATGTATTAAAGTATTCTCACTTTTACACATTTTGCTGCAGCCCTTTTTGTTATTTAAGACCCATAACCTAGTAGCCTAATCACTGTTCTTGTTGCCAGAACAAGAAAAAATAATGTTAAATACTTCGTCTAAAAAAATCATAATCTTACTTAACCTATTAAGCTAAACTTTCTATAAAGTGGTTTTGTGCTTTATACACAGACGTTTCTTTGGCTTATTTATACAATTGGCCTAATATGACCTTAAGGTAAGAAGCATGTGTAAACGGGTTATAATCAAAGTGAATGAAATTATTTGTGCTTTGCTTTTTGACACAGTCCGTCACGTTACACAACCAAATGACGCATGGCTCTTGGCTAGGCGTCAATTTTCTGGTAGTGACATAGGTACTAGGCAAGTGTTGATCAGTTTTATATGCTAGCTATTTCGCAGGAGAAGCAACAGTTGCATTAGTTGTATATCTGTTATCTAAAAACTATTCCACGAAGATGCTTTAAATACGTTATACGACAGACCGTTCCTCTGGTGGTTAGGGCCAATTATTAATTGGTTTTAGTAAAACAGGGTGCAAAAGTAATACGTTCATCTTTTAAAAGTCCGGTTTTATTAATTGGATTGTCGTTGCGGTGTATAGTTACCGTTGGGTCCCGAGTTTTAAAGCCATCAATTTTTCGAATTTCTCGCAAACTCGAACGAAAGGTGACTTTTGTTTCCCTTCTTTGGTCAAATACTACAATTTTACCCTTAATCAGTTAAACTCCTGGGTGGTCATTTGTAGAAAATGACTTGGGAAAACTCAAAAGTTCGCGGTGTGAACACTCGACTGCGGCTCTGCAGGTTCACACGAATTTGACTTTTCCCCAAACTTTAAATTTCACAAGGTCTAAGTAATGTTAGTAAATAAGGTTGAAGGTTTCTATTTAATGACTTTAAAAATGTAACGCAAATAAAATAAAAATATAATTTTAGTTAGCGTTAGACATATATCTGTTTAGATACCAGCTATTTTCAGCACATGTAATGTGTACCCTAAAGTATCGCACTATATTAACGTCACGACAAAAGATTGTGTTACTTTGTATCATTTACTTGTAAATGAACTAAGTGGCTAATAAAGTTCTTATTAAACTCGCTTGAGATATCTTCTTGTCAGTGGTTTCTCACGTTTAAGCTGCGTTTTAGAGTTCAAAGAACGACTTTGTGTGCATTGCTCGGTGGCATCAGGGTTGTAGCACCATAGTTTACCCCATGCCTTCAAGAATACGGCCAATCGGGAGGCTAGTTGCATACTTTGCGTAACAGTTTAACCTTGTTAAATTTTTATAATCAACATGACACTAGCGTGGGACAAAGAAAAAGATTTGAATCCAAGAGTGGTATCAAACCCATGACCTGGCCTTACGAACACCGGGCAGGCGCTCTATCCACTAAGCTACGAGAACTTAGGAGAACACGTCGATTTCTCTAACTGTGATATATGAACTCTGAAAACACCTTCGGCCTTTTCTTGAATATATTATCTAGCTTAATGGGAAAAAGTTATTGCGGGGGAATAACCAACATTACTCGGGCAGAATATACTGATCCAAAATGGTGGTAGAGTGTTTTAATAGAAATCAAAGGTGTCTTCTGAAGAAGACATAAAGCCGACCTAATTAAGTTTATACAACAATTTCAGTCTCTGACAGCATGCAATATGGAGAAGTGTAAAGAACGTAAATTCTGCGGACGCTACACTCGAAAAATTTTAAAAGGGGCTTTTAAAACGGTTGTGGTAAAAGCTTTTAGCCTCCAAAATCACCTTACTGAGGTGGCTAATGAGGGTTAAATGGGGCCATATTCGATGAGCTTTCCTTTTAAAATGAGATTATTAAACTTCATTTCGATAGATTTAAGAGCCTAATTTCCACTTTTTGGGTTTTCGAGAGAGATATCAAGGTGTTTTGTGACGTTCACTTTGGACGCTTACTGTCAAACCTTTCAACAAATCCTTGTAAATTAATGCAAGTTAAACGTAAAGCTTTTAGGCTCGAATATCTGCTGACAGTAATGATTCGATTTGGCTCCCTCCTTCGAATAAGCACCATATTTCGAATAAGCGTCCCCCTTCGAATGCGCCCCTGTTCCTATCTTGTACTCGCCCCCATTCCAATAAACTCCCCCACCCTAATAAGCGTCAATTTAATATTTAGATTTAGCCAGGCCTAAAAGTGGAGCTCCGGGTTATTTTTTCCCAAATTTACCTGATAATACAGTTTTCAGCTAAAAAGACACTTTTTATTTATACCTTCGTTCTTTTTTATTTTGGTTCCGTGTTTGTTTTTGTGCTGCTAGCTGCCAAATACCAATGGTTTCAAATAACGTACAAGTTTATTCTCCCAGTGATTTCCATCTGTACGGTTCAAATCTTTTCGAAATCTAGATTAACATAAATATGTTTCAGTCAGTTAGAACGGTAAAAGCAGATCCCTACTGAAGCAATGTATAAATACCCGTTGGTGTCTCAAATTCTGCCACTAGAAGTTACTTGATCTGGTCCGGTCTTATTAATTAGTAATTGTTACGTCACTTCATAATATATTCATTATCGTAATATAATTTCGTGTCATAACGAAACAGTTTGTTTGTTTCCATGTCGGGAGAAGGACCGTTAAGAAACGCTGGGAAGATATTACACGAGCCTGCGATCAAATTCATCCAATATAGGGTCAGTGGTTAACTCCAAAAAAAAAACAAGATCTCGCTGAGGTCTAGCCTGAGCCCGCGATATCGTCATCTCGTATTGGTCAAATACATCGTGTTTAAATAAATGCTGTTGTTGTTGTTGTTGTTGTCAGAGGATACCTCATTTGACAGCTGTCAAAATGGATATCCAATATCAATTTGCTAAGATGCAGGCTGCAGCCCAAGCTTCGTACATAAATTTACCAGATGGCCGCCATATTCGTCAACTCAGTCGTTCGCATGTACGCGCCCGCGAGCCATATATGTCGCTGACGTAGGTGACAATGAGGAAATGTATGCATGGGTTCTATAGGTATGGGACTCCGCATGGCGGCCATCGGCCATCGAAGCTCCGCTAATAAAGATCCCTATTTTCACGCGGCAAAGATCCTTTCCACGGGCCCCCGTCACCGAATCGGTCGTCCAAAATGCAGCACCAGATTGCTCTTATTTGTTGATGGAATTGACACTTTCAAAGCTATCGGCGTCAAAATAGATTAAAATTCTCTCGCGTAAACTATTCATTCTATCACATGACCAGAAGGCGGAGATCCCATGAGATAGCACAGCGCTTGCGCAAGTCATTGCACGATTCGCGCTCAACGCGTAAAGTTCGTTCTTCGGATAACACCAGAATTTCTTTGGTTTTCTTACACGTATAGCTGGAGAGGCAAACGTAGTTGGTCTCAATTACACCCAGCTCAGGCGCTAACGTAGTTAGGGGCACAAACCCCGGACGACGTTGGGATGAATATCACTGCCGAACAGGGTCAATCGTCGGAGAAGGCCTCCGCGAATACGGAGCTTGCGAACCTGTTTACGGCTGCTATGGCCCCTTTCGTGGGTCAGATGACCAAACTTACCGAAAATGTCAGTCTGCTGTTGAGCGGTCGCGATCCAGAGTCGGAGGAGGACGGTGAAACCGCCTCTGCCGAAGCAGTCGAAGACTCTGGTCATGAAGGAGTAGATATGGAAGCAAGTCTATCTGCCATCCTGGACTCTAAGACCACGGATAAAGCAGCGCCTAGGACAGGCGACGCTTTTTTACAAGAGCTCGCTCAAGATCTCTCGGTAAGAGAGCAAACCTCCCCGCCAATTCATGAAGGTCTGGCGGGCATTTTTAATGGGCTTTTGTCAGAAAAGATGCCCGATGACAAGATCAAGGCGAAGCTCGACAAATATACACGACCCGAAAACATCAACGGCTTGAGAACGCCGAAGGTTAACCCCCTAAATTGGAGCCAGCTGTCCGCCACAATGAAAGCACAAGATGCTAGATCTCAGAAAGGGCAAAATGCTCTCATCGGCTCCGTAATAGCCATGACCAAGGCTACCGATTTGGTTCTTGCAAAGTACAGCCAGGATAAAGATCTGATTACCCTCTTGACAGACGCTATTGCAATGGCGCTTCAATTCAACCACGAGGTTAACCACTCGCGGCGCGTGGCAATGAAGAAGGAATTGCATAAAGATTATGCAGCACTCTGCAACTCGTCCACTGTTGAAGGCTCTTCGGAGCAGTTGTTTGGCGACCTCTCCAAACTTGCTAAGGACATTTCCGAAGCCAACAAGTTAACTAAGAAGGTTCGCCCGTCGCATTCCACGAATTCCCGCGGTGACAAGTACGGCGGACGCTCAAGTTATGGTTCGAGCCAGGGAAACAGAAGATTTTACTCCTACTCAAAAGGGAAGGCCTATAATTTTTTAGGCAACAGCCGCTTCTCCAAACAAAGAAAGAAAAAGGACGGAGAGACGAGTCAGCGGCAATGAAAATGCCAGAGGTATGTAATGAAAACATGACTCTCCCTAAAGGCCTCGAGCCTAGTATACTAAGTACACTCAAATTACAAACTAAATTTCAAGCAGGACAGCTTCGAAATTTCTTACCTCAATGGAAAACTGTAACAACCGATCCCACTATACTTCAATTTGTTTCCGGGGTCAAAATAGAATTTCAAAACAATTCTCTGCCCACGCAACAACATAAGAGACCCAGTGTTTTTAATACTAAACAGCATGCTATTGTTAAAGCGGAAATCGATAAACTACTCACTAAAGGTGTTATTATACCCGCGGCACAAGAAACGGGGGAGTTTATCTCTACCATATTCCTTAGACCGAAAAAGGATGGCACGCACCGCACCATTCTCAATCTTAAAGAGTTTAACGAATTCGTAGCTTATCATCATTTTAAGGTGACTCGACCCAGTTTTTTTGGGGGGGTACCATCCTACTTTGAAGCTCTCTGGTATCCCCACCTTTTCTTTTATCGTAAGTCTAACACATAGAATGGATAACATATAGATCAATCTACAATATAACATAAAATTTTTGGCGATCGGAGTAAATGTCACGTGGTTATAATGCCACGCCCCTTTGAGGTCTGCGTCGAAAATCGGCTGTTGCCGATATTTTTTCGTGAAAATCTCTCGGCTACACGTAGTGCGCATTAGTGCCTTGCGCTGAACAGAGTTTCACCAAAATCGCAAAGACCCAATTCGAGAAATTCAGCGGTTTCCAAATTTAGGTCATAATTTATGCGAAAATGATAAGCAAACTTTACACGGATTATATATAATAAACTGTGAGATTCATCCCTTTATTTTGGGCATCGTTATAACAGATGGGTCCTTGCAAGTCAGCAAAAAGCTTTAGGGCCTTGTAAATGCGCGCGATTTCGAGCAAAGCAAACATATAGAAATTATAGTTTTCGCTATTTGTTGACGTTTGTCAGCGTTTAAGAGTCCTTCTCACGAAAAAAGCATTTTCTTAAAAATTCGTAGTTTTTTTTTCCTTCAAATTTTTTCAGGGCCACAATTGATTAACTAACTACCCGCACTCTGAATTTCATGGTCATTGAAAAATTGTGACATTATCTTCTATAAGCCCAAACTTGAGTAAACTTTGAAGATTTTTAGCGTTTTGGCTGAGTTTGTGCTTTGGGAGTTGTCTATTGTTTCTAGTCTGTCATTATACAGCATTCTTGTTCAGCACGCGTGCAATGACCGCGCTTGGCTGACTTCCAAATGCTCACCGAGATATTATAATTTTGGTACAGTGAGACAAGCCATCGCGTGATACATAAAGGTTTAACTAACAATTTTTAATCAATTCTCGTGCTTCTTGTGTCTTTGCAAAAAATCAAGAAGTGCTAAACACTAAATCTACTTACTATTACAAAAATATCATTTTTTTCATAGGTTTAATGCAAGCCAATAATTAAACCAACTCGTGACGGGAATATCTCGGTGAGCATTCGGAAGTCAGCCAAGCGTGGTCATTGCGCGCGTGCTGAACAAGAATGCTGTACAATGACAGACTAGAAACAATAGACAACTCCCAAAGCACAAACTCAGCCAAAACGCTAAAAATCTTCAATGTTTACTCAAGTTTGAGCTTATAGAAGATAATGTCACAGTTTTTCAATGACCATGAAATTCAGAGTCCGGGTAGTTAGTTAATCAATTGTGGCCCTGAAAAAATTTGAAGGAAAAAAAACTACGAATTTTTAAGAAAATGCTTTTTTCGTGAGAAGGACTCTAAAACGCTGACAAACGTCAACAAATAGCGAAAACTATAATTTCTATATGTTTGCTTTGCTCGAAATCGCGCGCATTTACAAGGTCCTAAAGCTTTTTGCTGACTTGCAAGGACCCATCTGTTATAACGATGCCCAAAATAAAGGGATGAATCTCTTGGTTTATTAGATATAATCCGTGTAAAGTTTGCTTATCATTTTCGCATAAATTATGACCTAAATTTGGAAACCGCTGAATTTCTCGAATTGGGTCTTTGCGATTTTGGTGAAACTCTGTTCAGCGCAAGGCACTAATGCGCACTACGTGTAGCCGAGAGATTTTCACGAAAAAATATCGGCAACAGCCGATTTTCGACGCAGACCTCAAAGGGGCGTGGCATTATAACCACGTGACATTTACTCCGATCGCCAAAAGTTTTATGTTATATTGTAGATTGATCTATATGTTATCTATGCTATGTGTTAGACTTACGATAAAAGTAAAGGTGAGGATACCAGAGAGCTTCAAAGTAGGATGGTACCCCCCCAAAAAAACTGGGTCGAGTCACCTTAAGATGGATACCCTAGAGGCGGCCATCAGTATGATGAAACCAGGCTGCTTTATGGCATCAGTTGATCTCAAGGATGCTTATTACACCGTTCCCATTCACCCCTCTCACCAGAAATATCTCAAGTTTTGTTTCGACGGCGCTTTCTATCAATACACTTGCCTACCTAACGGCCTCGCCAGTGCGCCTCGTATTTTCACAAAATTACTCAAACCTGTCTATGCTACACTTCACAGCATGGGTCACTTAAATTCAGGCTACATTGATGATTCTTATCTCCAAGGGGATACTGTTGCGGACTGTCAACAAAACGTTGGAGACACTGTCACCTTATTTACCAGCCTAGGGTTCTTCATCCATCCAGAAAAGTCGGTTTTCGTTCCTACCCAGCGGTTGACGTTCTTAGGGTTTGTTCTGGATTCGATTAGGATGACAGTTACGCCTACCGAAGCAAAAATCCAGAAAATCAAATCTAGTTGCGACACTCTCCTGAAGACCCCCATGCCCACTATAAAACAAGTCGCAGAGGTTATCGGCATTTTAGTGTCCAATTTCCCCGGAGCTCAATACGGGCCACTTCATTACAGAAAAGTGGAACGTGACAAATATCTCGCCCTCGTGTTTAACAAAGGAAATTATGAAGGGAAATTACGGCTATGCCCCATGGCGCTACAAGAAATCCGCTGGTGGCTAAATAATGCTATTACCTTACACAGAGATATTCAACATCCCCGCCCTAGCGTGACAATTCAATCGGATGCGTCCAAATTGGGGTGGGGAGCGGTTTTTGGGGCACAGAAAACAGGGGGAAGGTGGACCCTTGCGGAAACCGAATCTCACATCAACGTATTGGAATTGCTTGCGGCTTTCTTTGCCCTAAAATGTTATTGCAGCAAAATGGGGAACTGTCACATACAGCTTCAGATCGACAATACCAGGGCCATTGCGTACATTAACAACATGGGGGGCTCTAACTCAAAAGAACTTGATCAATTGGCTTTTCAAATTTGGGAATGGTGTATAACTAGGCACATTTGGCTCTCCGCTGTTCATATTGCTGGTCGGCTGAATACCGGTGCTGATGAAAAATCTCGCGTGTTTTCGGACAACCATGAGTGGATGTTAAATAAACAGTTGTTTGACGACATCCTATCACACCACCCTGGGCTGGATTGTGATTTTTTTTGCCAGCAGATTAAATTTTCAGATCAGCACTTACTGCTCGTGGCGCGGCGATCCACACACTGCCTACATCGATGCTTTTACTATGAACTGGAGTGGTTACAAATTTTATGCATTTCCACCTTTCAGCCTCCTCCCCAAATGTTTACAGAAAATCAGACAAGACAGAGCGCACGGAATACTCATTGCTCCTCTTTGGCCAACACAGCCGTGGTTCCCTCTCCTGCTACAATACCTGTGCGATCAACCTTGGATTCTGCTTCTACGCCCGGACCTTCTGAAACACCCCTCACACAGTCGACCCCACCCACTGCACAAGAAACTCCACCTAATGGTATGTCCTGTGTCAGGGGAGCCTTCAGCCGCTACAACTTTTCAGAAGAAGTTACCGATGTGCTCATGGCCTCTTGGAGGTCGGGCACGCAGAAACAGTACCAAACCTATCTTAACAAATGGATGGCGTTTTGCGGTGAGAGGAGGATTGCTTACTATTCACCACCACTAAATGAAGCCCTCCAATTTCTTGTACGACTATTTAATCAAGGACTGAGTTATTCCGCGCTAAACACTGCCCGCTCTGCTCTTTCTGCAATTATTATAACGGAAGGTGGGGAGTCTTTCGGTACTAATTGCGTAGTTACTCGATTTATGAAAGGAGTCTTTGAATCACGGCGACCAAAACCTAAGTACACAAAAATTTGGGATGTTGGAGTAGTTTTGAAACATTTGTCTACGTTATACCCGTATGACAAATTGGCATTGAAAGATTTGACGTATAAGGTTCTCATGTTAATCTTACTAGTCTCGAGTCAACGAGGACAAACTGTACACTCTTCAGACCTTACGCACCTTTGTGTGGAAGAGGACAAATACATATTTGACATTGATGAACACATGAAGACCAGTAGTCCAAGGAACCCTAATACACGAATCGAAATAGCTAGATATGAGCCGGATGTTTCCATTTGTCCTTTCACTTGTCTTAAGGCGTATATTAACAGCACAAAAGTTTTGCGTAAAGATGAAACGAAATTATTTGTTAGTTATGTTAGGCCACATAAACCTGTCTCCAGGGACACAATTTCCAGGTGGACAAAGGAAACCCTCCACCTTTGTGGGGTGGATACCAAAGTGTTCTCCGCCCATAGCACTAGGTCGGCCTCTGTTTCAAAACCTGTTCACGAGATCATGGCCAGGGCTGGCTGGAAATCCGCAGAGACTTTTCATAAATATTACAATAAGCCTGTTGTTCAAGAAAACAGTGTGGCCTCTGCTGTTCTGGGTGCTAGCCCACACTAGGCCTTTCGTCATGTCTATTTTGGACCTGGTTGGGATTAGCAAACTAGCGAGTTTATATATGGAAAAAAAAAAACAAAAAACAAAGAACAAAAAAAACACTGTTGTATTATATTGTGTTTATCATTGGGGTTGCTTCTGCCAGCGGCTACTTTGCATATGGCCTTGGGTTATCTGTACCTCTCGTTGGGCCTATCGCATGGGCGCATCAACCCTTTGAAGTCTCATGGGATCTCCGCCTTCTGGTCATGTGATAGAATTGGGAAATTAAACGAGACTTACCTGTAAGTTGAAGTTTGATTGAGATTCTATCACATGACAACAGAAGGCGAGAGATCACATGAGATAGCACAGCGCTTGCGCAAGTCATTCTTAAAAGACACGTACTGGGCGCGTCAACCTAGTATGAAATGGCATACCCGAAAGTACAGCGAAACAGGGTGGGTATGATAGCGGAGGGCATGTGATCTCTCGCCTTCTGTTGTCATGTGATAGAATCTCAATCAAACTTCAACTTACAGGTAAGTCTCGTTTAATTTCCCAATTCACCGTATATTTATCTTGTTACAGTTTCTCTTATTGTACCTTTTTAAAATTAATATTAAAGTTAACGTTTTGTTTTGAACATTCGATTGTTTCTCAAAAAAGAAATAAGCGCCTGGTCGCGAATAAGCGCCCTCCCTTGAAGTCACCAAAAGTAAATAAGCGCACGGGCGCTAAATCCAGTCATTACAGCAGTGGATTTTACAACGGTCCATTGACCCTAAATGACCTACAAGTAAAGGACGAATTAGTTATTATTTATTCATTTAAACCCGTATATTAAATCAAACAATTTTAACAGGCTTAATTTTTTCTTAACAAATTAGGCCATTTATATCTTAGATCCTAACTGTTACGTATGAATTTAGAATAAGGAGTTTCTGGCATAGTCAAATTTGGTATCTACGATCTCTGTAACTAAGTTTATAAATCTGTCCTGATTTAGCAAAACATGTCTACAGACATTTCACATATTAGCATTCATCTGAGACCATATTCTTGCGTGGACCTCTGAATGAGAGCTTATCTTAGCTCCATTCAACTGAAATTACCCTAGATTCAACGTCTAAATAATTTTCTGACCAAGAAGACTGTATTTAAAACATTCTAGCAAAATCATGAGTTTTGCCAATTTAATTAAGACAGTGTTTACCACATAAAATTGCATCTGAAAACAAACCTATAGTTCCAGTGCGATAGCTGACCTGAAGCTTTCTAAAACTATGCATGGCCTCAACTGGACCCAGCAACAGCGGTTTACCTCGACGATCGCTTCATTTTCAAGGATTTCGCGACAAAAAGTCAGAAAAATCTTTGTTTGGTGACACCCTTGGCGATCGAAACATGGCTGATATCAATTTGACAACCGGAAACTCTCGTCCACCTACTGGTCGAATCACAGTAAAGGAGAACGGCAAACCGATCTCTGACCTTAAGCTAACGAATAATAAGAGCGATGTACTCACATTCGGCCTCTGTAAGCGTTTTCTTGGAATCCTCAGCCATTTTCTTAGCATTCAACTGATTAAAGAAGTTCCTCTAGGCAATATCCCGGATGTAAAAGACGTTCGTGACGGGCAGAACCATAAAGTCTTTCATAACCACAGAATGTTTCTAAGTCTTTCACCAGGATTGAGTTCGAGCCAAAAATTGACATGACGGCCTTCAAAGCACCTCTAAAGTCGAGTTCAAGGTCCTAATTTACCTGGTGAAAGACCCTTTGCTGTCTAAAGCAAGCACTCATTATCTGTACCTCGCACAGCGTACCGAGTTGAAGTCAATGTCAACCCGCTAAAGCTCTGTTTAAGGGGCGATAATAGCCGACACATTACTTGCAAATCGCTAGACTTCCACCTTCACTTGACTTTAGGATGTCCTCCGGCAAACTTTCTTTAGACAGCATAATACAAAGCTAGTCAACTCCCTCCTTCGAGTTAATGCGGGCCGCCAAAATTCAAATGAAAAGCTAGAGAATGTGACCAGTTGGAGCCTGGGAAAAATGTATAAAAGTGAGGGGGGGGGTAGGGTAAAAATCCAGAAATCACCAATTTGTCATAAAATGCGCCAGGTCAGGAAAGGATACAGTTCATGAAATTATGCCAAATAATCCGCAAGCCTTGGCAAAAAAAAAAAAAAAAAAAAAAAAACTCAATTTCATACATTCTCTTAAATCTCTTAAGCCACATTCTTATACTTGTCAGGACAGAAATGCGATCTCGGTTTCTTTAGTCTCACTACCAAATTATAAAGAACTCAAATGGGCTTTAGACAGCTCCTGATCATGATCCCTAATGGCCCAATTTGTTTAAGTCAATGTGTCTTTCATTTTAAATGAGATAATTGGTTGATTTTCAAAAAAAGGAAAATATGTCACAAGTCGTTCCGTAGTTTTGACTGGACATCCTTCAATTTCTCGTCCATTAGTTTTCGTCCAAAGTCTGTCAAAGTGATATCATTTTGTTATCGAAAGTATTTGAACGGGTTACCTGTTTTGTCGAAGATGTTGTATAAAAGGGCCAAAGCTAGACCCTCGGCGGATTCCTGCATATAAAATGATGATGATGATGATGATGATATCATTGTCATGTAAGTAAAAGGAAATATTACAAACGATTTCTTAGGATAATTCTTACAAAGTGCCTTCTCCCCTTTGCCGAATATCCAGCTCTGCATTCATCACATGATTTTCACTAACAAGCGCAACAACTCAGATTAAATGACTGAGCTGAAGAAAGATGTGTTTAGACTGTTTGCTTGTGAGGTAAGATTTGCATGAAATTTTTTTCATTGTTTTGGGGCTGGTGTGATGTTTTCCTGTAATCTCCATTCTCTAACTTTTCTTAGAAAAAAAAAAATTCTTACAGAAATAATAACACCTAGCTCTAGGATTTTTTTCTCAACCCTATGCAGTTTTGAATGTTCGCACTTGCATGGAAAAGGTAAATGATAACATTTCTATTTTTCCATGCTTTTAACTTTTCCAGCTTTCCCAGGGCCCAGACTGAAGGGAATAATCCGTCTACGAAATGAACCAAAATTATTGCCTATCTGGTGAATTATTCTTGCACAGTAGGCAAATCACTGGTGTTGGTTATTGGCCAAAAATGCCTTTTTTTGTAAATTACAAATTTTAACATTTTTTCTCTACAAATAATCAATGCCAGCCAACCATTTTAGGTTCAATTCCTAGACCATTGTAAACCTAATCTGTGAAATGTTTTTTTTTTTTTTTTTTTTTTTTTTTGTCTGAGTGGCTTTGGTGTTTCTTCTCAGTTTTGTTTATAGGGAAAGTACACCTGGGACACCTTACCAAAGCTTGAACCGTTGCCATGGCAACCAAACACCCAAACAAAATTGTTTTTGTCATCATTCATCACAACAAGTTGCGTAATCGCGATTTCTTTTGATTAATTATAAGTTTGATTCTGAGCAAGAGTTGTATATTGGGTACCACACCACCTTAACTGTCAAAACTTTGAACTTATCGTTTTAAATTAAAGCCAGTAAAGGGTAGACGTCTCGAATATCCCCTTAATGGATTTTAGAACAGTTTATAGACCATAAGTGATCTACAAGAGTAAAGGACGAATTAGTCATTAATTATTTACTTAAACCAGTTTTTAAGATCAAACAATTTTAACAGGCTTAAAGTGTTCTGGATGCTTAACTGTCAAACTATCGAACAAATCCTTAAAGTAAGTAAGTAAGTAAAGCCTTTATTTAAAGAGGGTAGCACCTAATAGCCAAAGGCTACCCTTACCAAATCCAACACTGTTTTGAATGTATTTTTAAGCTATTTTTGAAAACTGTTTTTAACCTGTTTTGTGAAATAGGTTTTAAATAGGGTAAAAAATGTATTTTTAATGTATTTTTCGACTGCTTTTAAAGGTGTTTTAACCTGTTTAAAACGCTATTAAAAAAGAATTTTTAAAGTATTTTAAAATGCTTTTAAAATATATAAAAAATTCCAGGGCTTTTGCAAGGCTCAAAACAGGTCAAAAACAGTTTTTAAATACCTTATAAATCGGAATAAAAACAGGATAAAAACAGTTTCAAAAACATATTTTAATTTACTATACTATTTTAAAACTATTTTTAATGGCAATTTTAAACGTATTTTGAAAAAAACAGGTTTAAAATAGGTACAAAAAATATATTTTGATATATTTTTCGACTGATTTTAAAGGTGTTTTAACCTGTTTAAAACGCTATTAAAATGTTATGCTTCAAAATATATTTTAATAGCTGTTTAATCGGTTTCGAAATTTAGTAAAATACTCGTATTTGCAAAT